TGCCCTTAACCGAAGCTGAGCGCAACAATGAAAATGCGCTTTGGGTGACGCCCCACATGGTTGCGAAGTAAGTAACTATGAATTTTATCTAACGTGAAATAATTTTTTCAATGTATCATAATGTAATCAAAACTTTTATAAATAAATAATATTAATTTTCTGAAGCGATCAAGAAGTGTTGGACCAAATCAAAGTCATAATTGGAGGACACTTTCTTGGAAACTGGGCAGCATACACAGAAGTAGACCCCAAGGTTCGTGAACTTTGGTGGAACCTTTTCAAAGTAAAAAAAATGAATTTTCTCTGCGTAATTGTATTAACGTAACATTTGATAAAAGATAAATTAATTTATATGTTTTTTATAAAGGGTCGGTTTCGATGGACTGAAGCCCAAGGTCCAGCTATTCTTAGAGCGTATAACGCTAGGATTTCAAATTGGTTTCGTCCTACTTTTAGGCGTGCCCGAACGAGCGGGGTAAAACCTGGATGGTGTTCGGATGAGGTGTGGGCTAACCTCGTCCGTCACTGGTCTTCTGATCCAAACTTCTTGGCAAGAAGTCAATCCGGTAAGAAAAAACGGATGTCCGAGAAAGCCTTAGAAACCCAATGGCATGGGGGCCGCAAACCTCAGAGTAGACATAAAGAAGATCTTGTAAGTATTTTTCAAAAAACTTTACACAATTACAACCCTTTATTTTAACAATTAATTATGGATCTTAAGCCTTTTTTCCAAATTGTAGTCGGGGCCTGAGAAGAAGAAGGTCTCAATTCTCAAGGTCATCAAGCACTGCTGGACAAAGCACGGCGATGAGTCCGATGCCGATCTGCCACCCCGCCTCGCTGAAATCGAAGTAAGTAACACTATTTTGTTACTTATTTCCATTCAAAATCAAATTGAGTAACATTAAATTAACAATTTTTGTACATGTAGTCAAAGTATAACACAAATGTTGAGAAGAGGCGGGCAGAATTAGGCTTGACTCAGGAGGATGAGATTGATTCTGATGTGGAGGATGATGCCATCTTTGAGGCAGTTGGGGTGTACAAGGGCCGGGTCCCGTGCATGGGGGCTGAGGGGCAACGGATCTTGTACGACCGCAGCGGTGCTTCATCTTCCCGATCAAGGCGCGGAGAGGATCCGCGTATCGCTCAAATGCAGCGGGAGATGGAGGAGCAGCAGCGGGCCTTGGCTGAGCAGCAGCGCACCTTGGAGGAGCAATGCAAAAAAGAAGAAGAAACAAGGGCCCGACTGGAAGAGATGGAACGGATCCTCAGCGCCGGAATTCGGAATCAGCCTCAGCCTCAGCCGTATGTACTGCACCCTGAGCAGACACCTCAAGTTCCGCACATGGGCGGTTATTTCCGTACCAACTCTGCTACCGGGTTGCCTTCATTTGGTTCTATTCAGGATATCAATTTTCACAACCTGTTTCAAACATCTGGAGGCAGCCAAGCAGGTGGCAGTCGCGGAGGTGGCAGTCGCGGAGGTGGCAGTCGCGGAGGAGGCAGTCGCGGTGGCAATCGAGAAGGCCAAGCTGGAGACAACCGAGAAGATGAGACCGAAGAAGATTATCTATATGATGATTCTAGATATTATCATAATGGTAACCGGAGGAGCTTGTAAATGATATACATTTTTATTTGAACATTGTTTATTTACTATAATTCTATTGTACTTATTATTACTTTTATTTCAGTCTGTTTGGTTATGAAATGTGTGTTCTAGTAGTCTGTTTATTACTTTTATTCTACAAATATTTTTTAAAATAAACTTTTCTAAAGAATAATTAAAAATAAATTTATTTTTTTTATAAAACAAAAAAACTTTTTTTTAAAAAAATAAAAAACTTTAGTCACGGATCCGAGCCGTGACTAAATTCTAAACCGATTTTTTAAAAAGTTATTTTGCAAATTTAATTTTTTTTTTAAAAAATAAAAAAGTAGTCACGGATCAAGTCCGTGACTAAAATTTGAAATTTGAAAATTTAAACCGTAACATTTGGCGGTTCATTTTTTTAAATTTGAAAGTGTAGTCACGGATTAGTCCGTGACTATATTTAGTCACGGAAAGGGCCGTGACTAAGTCGCCGGTGTGGTTATTCCGGTGACAAGTTAGTCACGGAAACGGTCCGTGACTAAGCCGTGACTACGCTAAGTCATGGATAGAATGACCGTGACTAGAATTAGTCACGCCCAAACAGTCACGGATTTAGTCACGGACAAAGTCCGTGACTAGCAAAGTTAGTCACGGATTTTTTATACTACGGTCCGTGACTAAATCCGTGACTAACTCCGTGTTTTTTTGTAGTGAATACTAGTCTTCACAATACCAGCGGAAGATGCATTTAATACGGTTGACTTTTGTTTCTATTATTGTTCACAATTCAAAATAGTACATTTAAGTAGTTGGGTGTTAATCCAAAAAAAGATATTCAATTAATGAGATTGGTTCAGCCACTTAAAGAACTTCTAGGTTGCATTAAATGCAAAGAGGATCTTCAAAATGCTAGCACGAGAAGAAAGAATCTGGTTTGACTATATATCCAATTTTAGTTTCAAAGTACACACCACTTTTAAGGTAGGTGAGAGTTAGAATCAAAATAAGAAATTCAATTAATGGAGTAGTTCAATTAAATGTGAGAGAAGAATCCAAAGTACACAACACTGCAATAATATTCGTAGATTGGAGGAGTAGTGCATGGATATTTAAAAATTTGAATCTATAAATATGACACTTCTCATAGGCATTCTCACAGCACACTCCCAGCAACACAGATTTCCCATCACAAGTCTATATTGCTACTAACTCCAAGTTGCTCCTATGGTTGAAAGCTCCAAGAGAAAAGGAATGTGATCTCTACACATTCCTTTTCCCTTACTGTAACCAATTTGGGAAGCACTTCAGACAATGAAGTATTGCAAGTCTCCGAAACAAAGGTAACATTTTGGAAAATATTTGTAACACAAAAACACATGCCCATCTTAGTTTACAATTTTTGTTAGAGAAAAAAAAATTTGGGCAAAATGCATTTAAAATCAACTTACATCACACATTTAATTAAATTAATGCTCTAAAATATTTTTAAATTATTGAACAGACAAAGGTATGAGAATTTGATAAATGTTACTATGCTTCTTTGTACTAAACTTCAACGAAAATGGCAGAATCTCATGCTCAGTAAAGTGGCAAAGAAATATAACTCAGCAAATGGCAGAGAAATAAAAAAAAGATGTGTTCACTTATCAAGCATGAAGACCACACAGAGTCTACATGGATGGACAGTAAATGTTGGAATTGTTAGGGTTTACAAACTAGCCGCACATGCTAAGGAGGGAGGATCCTTGATTTGATTATGCAGGATCAGGAAGTAAAATACTCAACTATTTTGTTTTGTTTATTGTAATAATTGTTGAAATATCTAAAATCCTGATCTCAATAACATATAATTTTGAACAACAAGGTTGCATTCATGCATTTGTAAAATGACATCAGATTGACATGCTCATGTCCCAGATAAAAGAAAATTATGTTTATACAATCAAGAACATTTTGGTGAAGCATTCACAATGGAGCCATTTGTTTTAATTACAATGATGATGCATAAAAGCAGTATCTTATAGATTCAATGAAACAATTTTTAGCCTTTCAAAACTGATCAAACTTTCAAATATTTCTAAAATTTAGGCTTTAGAATCATTCTTTCAACTATTTAAAAACATTAATTTATCACCTATTACTCAAATTCAGAAATTCAAGTATAATAATTAGCAAAACTTATAAAAAAAATACAAACTTTATAATGTATCCAGTCAGGGCCGGTCCTGTCCAGTTTTGGGCCTATGAGCGATATACTATTTTGGCCTTTTTTCCAAGGCAAACAGTAAATTATACTATCGTACTTACTTAAAGTAAAAATTACGGACTATAATAAAACTAGGAGAAATTACTCTAAATATGACTACAAACGTTTGTATTTTCCAAACTAAGATTATCATGTTTTTATTCTCTAATTAGAAGTAATTAATGTCATATTTTGGCAGTATCATATTTTACACATGGTAGTATTTTCCGAACATGACAGTAACTACTCCAATTTAGAAATTAAACACATGACAGTCCTATTTTGGAATTCCAAAAAAAAAAAATACTCCTATTTCAGGAATTCTCCCTACAAGCATCTAATAAAGGTTATAAATACAGATGAAATTCGCCTTCATATTATTTGAATTGCATATTTGGACAAAATAACAACACAAGTATATCAAAAGAATATTGTGAGGTAAAATAATAAATAATTGCTTTATAATCAATCTTTTCCAAGATCATATGTGCAATGTTTAAAATTGCTAATCCATTAAATTTTTAAGGCATAATAGATAATTGGATGATGTTTGAGAATTGGGAGGCACCGGCACCCAAAGACAATAATATGAATTGGTAATTTTTAATTTGTAATTAAAAAATAATAAATCTTAAGGGCTAAAAAGATGTGAAGAGACGTACTTTTATTGATTCAACAACAAATGTGTTGACTTACAACCAACTCTACTTAAATAGTTGAAAATCAAAACTAAAATTATATTCTTTTTTAAAACTTGGCTAAAGGGTCAAATAGGTACATGAACTAACTTAAAGTGTTCAATTAGCCCCTTATATAGGAGGTTCTGCCCGGCCGTCGCCAATTGGGGGGTTTCCCGGTGGAGTTTTTTGATGAAATTTTTTGAGCATCTTCTTCATTAAGTCTAGTTTATCCATACCAAATTTCAGCTAAAAATTCAACCGGGAAGACAGTCAAATGATTTTTTGAAGATAACTGTGCAGGTAAACAACACAGTACATTTTGAAAAATCATTTGACTGCCTTCCCGATTTAATTTTTAGCTGAAATTTGATATGAGTAAACTAGACTTAATGAAGAAGATGCTCAAAAAATTTCATCAAAAAATTCCACCGAGAACCGCCCCAATTGGCGACGGCCGGGCAGAACCTCCTATATAAGGGACTAATTGAACACTTTAAGTTAGTTCATGTACCTATTTGACCCTTTAGCCTTAAAACTTTTCTAGCTCTGTTCAAGACTTTTTACTTATGTTTTAAAATTCTCAAATTGTCAACAAAAATTACACATTAGGTCTAATTAATTAATTTAAGTTATAAATAAAAAAGAAGCATACTCAGATTACATATAAAGAAAAAAACTTGGGCCTAATTTTCTTTCTACTTTTTTTTCGGGCCTAGGACGGTCGCCCCTGCTGCCCTCCCCCTAGGACCGGCCATGTATCCAGTTCAGAACACATTTGTTTATTGGAAAGTACAGGGCTTCACACATTTTATGAATAAACACTTTGGTATTGTGCTCTACGTACTTTAAAAGTTCAATATACAAGCTTATAACCCAGAAACTTAACCGTCAGCATACGCTTTCAAAACAAATGTCAGCATACAAATTTATAATAAATTTAATAAAATATAAGAACTACATATTATAATGAATTTAAGGAAATCTGAATATACACACACACATAAACACAGACGCACATCACAGATTGGAGTCATGCACCCAAATCAAAAGGGAAAGTTCCCGAAATAGGACTAAAAAAGTTTGAAAATTCCAAAATAGGACTGTCATGTTTTTATTCCCAAAATAGGACTAATTACTGCCAAATTTGGAAAATACTGCCATGTTTGAAGTCTGGTACTGCCAAAACATGACAGTAATTAGTCCTATTTCGGGAATAAAAACATGGAAGTCCTATTTTGGAATTTCCAAACTTTTTTAGTCCCATTTTTGATAATATCTCAAATCAAAACTGATAAAAACATAATAAGTGGCATAGATGCAAAAAAATCAAACTAAAGGAAGAGATGTAAGGGATATACCCAATTCCCGAGAGTATAGTAGGTCATGGCCTGAGATCCAGGGATCTGCTCTCAGCCACCGTCAACATATGGTTGGTCGGGTAAAGGGGTGATTCAATACTAAATACGTAGTAGCAATAACGATACTCCCTCCGTCCCAAAATTATCTTCATAGTTACTTTATCAGATATTCAAATTACTCTTAATCTTTTACTTTATATATCAAATTTTTATCAAACTTAAATTTTCTTGATCAGGCTTTGTAGCGGTTTTAATGTAGTTTCTGAATATGTAAATTTTATTTACTAAAAATAATCCGAGTGTGAACAGGGATCGAGTTGCTTTATCGTCAGTCAAGCATCGTAAACCGAACTATGAAGATAAATATGGGACGGAGGTAGTATTATTTATTGAACCACAGAAATAGTGAGATAAGAGGACAATAGCCAAAGATGAAAAACAATAAAATAGGCTTTAGGAAGAAATCACATCTAAAAAGTAACGAAGCCATAACAACCTGCTCTATGCTTCTTTAGAGGATTTCATCGAATGAACCACCGAAAAGTAACGAAGCCAAGCCTATCGGATGATTCTTTAGATGAGTTGTACGGATGATGGAAAATGCATTGTTATATACGGAGTAGTGTAACTTAGGTTTTGCAATGGGCCAGTTTATATGAATTGAAAGAATTTGGATAAGTAATTCTTTCACATCTTTTTTGGGAATTTTTCGCAAGGACAAAGTAATGTCACATTTTTCATTTTTTAAAACTTATTTCAAAAATAAACTTACTATAATTAACTTTTCACAAATAGCGCGTATTACGTACATATAACCTATGTTGCACCGATACTTCACCTCGATGCCGTATCCGCGTATCCGATACGTATCCATATTCGATACTCACCGATACGCATCCTGTACGTATAGGGTCCGTATCCGTAATTTAATAAAAGTATCGGGCTTGATTTTAAAAATACCGATACTTCCGATACCCATATCCGTGAACCGATACGCGTATCTGACCCTATAGCCCCTCATTTGATACACGACATGACGAAAATTTAGTAGCCGCCTAAGTGACCACAACATGTGGAACATTGACAAAGATGGTTTCGGGAGTATGGAAAATAATGGAATACTATAATTTCTCATTTCATTGCTTGATGAGTTTTAATTGAAACAAGACATAGATGTAAATGCAAATAGAGAACAAAAAAATGTTGTTTGAATTTAAATCAAAATATTAGTACTTTTGTTTTTTTGGTTTTTTTAGACTAATCTTTGAAATTTTATTATAATAGTTAATTTTTTGTACTATTATTATTTTATTTATGAACCCATGAATTATATATATATTTGCAAATTATACCCTATATTTTTATTATTTATAAATATACCCCGTACCCGTATCCTATAATTTTTTAAATTGCCGTATCGCCGTACCCGTATTATATTCGCGTATCCGCGTATCGGCGTATCCGTATCCGTGCAACATAGCATATAACCTCCTGCTGGAATCTATACTTCCAAGAAATGAACGTGAGGTTCCAACTCCACTGTACGCACCATATTTGTTCCAATACAAATTCTAAGAATTACTCAATTCTTATTCTAAAAAATAAATAATGTAAAAACAGTCAAATGTAAAAAAGATGAAAATAAGTAGGGGGAATTTTGGAAATAAAAATACTTAAAATAAGAAAAAGAATTCATTATAAAAAATCGAGGTTCAAAACTTCTAAATTAAATTAAAAACTCAACAAAGGGATTAAAATATTAAAAATAGATCAGAAACATATTTAAAAAACATAGAAATGAAAAAGTTGAAATAAAATTCAAAAATTTTAAAACGTCACAAAATTGTAAGACAATGGGGTTTTCTGTAATGTAATTACATTAAAACTCATACTCCATAATTTATATACATAATATAAAACAATAAAAATATAAAAAATCAAATTTATGTGAAATTAATAAAAGGGAAAAATATAAATATAGAAATATGCTACGTATGAGTATGTAGAAAATAGGATTTGTTTTTCAAAAACTAAAAATGTAAATAATATTTTGAAAGATCTAAAATCATAAAATTGCAAAAAATCAGTATATAAAATCAAATAATTTATTTTTTAAAGTATTGAAAATTATGATAAACATCACAACTGTTTAGGAAAGTTAAAATTTCTAGAATATAAATTACAAAAACTTCCAAAATAATCAAATAAAAACATATATTTTAAAAAAGTAAGTGTTATAAAAAGTAGAAGAAAACGATTAAAGGACTAAAAACCACTAGAAAATATAAAATTATATTACCAAAAATAAGAAGTGTGAAACAATTAAAATATCTGAAATGTAGAATGCTTTTAATACAACAACAACATCCAAGCCTTAGTCCCAAACGATATTGGGGTCGTCTAACATGAATCGATATATGATATCACCAAAAGGAAAAGGACGAAAATAAAGATAAAAAAGATAAGCTATTATAAAAAAGATAATATAAAAGAGATGAATATACATATAAAAGATCAAATAAAAAGGATAAAGTATTACCTAGGCACATCACATGACATGAATCGAAATATGTAGAATGCTTTTAATAAAGTAAGAAATTATAATTTGAATTTTGTAATTTGATATATTTTAGTTGGAAAAAATTATCATCGCCAGGGAAAATTATTGTTAGTTTTTATTGCATTTAGTTTCATTTTGTTTCTTTTTGTTGATAAAATTATTGCAAATTTAGTTTTTCTTTTATTGTTTATTCATGTTTCCTGTGGATTTCCTTAAAATTTAACATTAGGGTACCTAAGTGATTTTTATTTCAAAGCACTGAAAAGATGGAAACCTACATAATAAAAAAAGTACAATAAACAATGTGATTTGATATTTTTAGTTCCAAAAATTAATTATTATACCCCAAGCATATTATTGTTAGTTTTTATTGCATATTGTTTCATTATGTTTCTTTTTGCTGATAGTTCGCAAATTTTGATTTTTTATTGTTTATTCATGTTTCATGTGGATTTCCTTAAAATTTAACACCAGGCTACATATGTGGTTTTTATTTCGAACCAACAAACATGAATAGAAGCCTAAATAAACAACAAAAATAAAAAATCTACAATCAACAAATAAATAAGCAATGAGAAACAAAAAAGAAATAAGATTAAACAAAAAGCAACATGATACAATAAAAAGCAACAAAACAACTTCACAACCATGCAACAAAATGTAACAAAAAGTCACATGAAAGTATCACAATGAATACATAATTTAATCTGTATTTCCACATTTAAGATGATCCTTATAATATGACATTACATAATATACCATTAAATTGAGTTTATGGTTCCTCATAACATACATTTACATAGCCCCTAGGGATGAACAAAAAAATGAAAAGTCAAAACCAACTCTCTAAGTGCTTCCATCCCAATAGAGCAAGTATGCCATATTCACTTTGTGCTTCACAAATTCAACTCCGGGAGCTCTATCTTTAATTTTGTAATGAAATCAATTTGAAGAGATTTAATGCCCAAGTAACTGTCAAATAAATTTCAACCAGTCAATAACTCACATCAATTACCAAATACTATCAACCTCTCTAGTTAACTCATATTTGATCAAAATGGACTAGTTAATTAATGGAGGCAACACCCTTATAAAGCTCCCCCATTCACATAAATGACTAATCAAATGTCTAAAAGCAATTGATCAGATATCATCTTAAAGCGGCACATCCATTGGGTCATAGCTAGTTTACCCGTGAAAGATGCAAAATGTCGTGAATTTGGCAATTATTATATTTTGATGATAGTCAATAGAGATGGGTTATATTCATATCACGGCATTTACAAATGGGTTAAAAAGACAAACGGCTGTACCGCTAGCAGCCGCTGACCCTCAGCTCGGACCAGACTCAGAGTTTATCATCTCCAAAAAAGCAATATAACTCGTTGATCCATTATTGGGCGTAACTGAGTCAAAGACGGTTAAAGCAGACCTCCCATCACCCAAAACTAAAACCACAGTCTTAAAGTAATAACAAAAACCAAAGAAAATGCAAACAATATGATCAAAAAAATTAAATAGCAAAAAGCCTATAAAATATAAATCTTGTTCTGTCTTCCGGAGCTCCAACTCTTCTTGTTCTTCATTTTTTGGCGGTGTTTCCGGAGGGGGATGGACCATCGACACTTCATCTTTTTTTCCTTCATCTTCAACACTGCATCTTGAATGATCCCCTGTTGATTCACTACCACAATTTCCAATATATCCTTTTTGCCCCCTGCAATTGCTACACCAATGAAGCTACAAACCATGCTCCAGCAACACAAACACTCGCACCGTGAAGCTTTATTCTTAAAATGAAAAAACGCACCCACAACACTTGTAGACCATAAACGAGCCCCCCAATCAAACCCTGTTGTACAAGAAAGGAAAGAATAACTCATGAAAGTCAACTTTCCCATATGATAGAGCCGCCGCCTCCTACAAGATAGCCGATAAGAATCCCAGCTTCGGCACTCAAACGCCGCCCATCCTATCCGAACCATCAAAACAGAGGGCGATCTCAACCACCCACCCCCGTCCACCCGCACAGCAACTTTATCCATCGACGTATCCAACGCCGCCGGCTCGAACACAAACGTGGCTGGAATCGTCGGAATCAACGATTCGAACCACAACCTCAAAAGAAGAGGACAATCACTCGTAGGGCCCCTCTGAATCAGGCCCAGGGCACACTAGAAAAATCAACCAAACCCGCACCATCCCTCAACGACGACCGAATTGAAGGTGACGGGAGAAGAAAACCCTAAAAGAAGGGAGACGGCCACCGAAGACTTTACAATTCTTTCTTAATACTCCCTCTGTCCCAAAATTAACTTCTCACTTTCCTTTTCGGGCAGTCCCGAAATTAACTTCACACTTCAAAACTTTCCTTATATGACAAATAATCTACATAAAAAAGTGCCAAACAGTGCCAAACAATGTCAAACAGTGTTTAAACAGTACAAAACAGTGCACTTCACAGTAAAGTCAAATTTATTTTCTTAATCTGTGTGAAGTCAAACTGAGAAGTTAATTTTGGGACGGAGGTAGTAAGTGACTTTAAGTATGGTCGCAGAAGCTGTCATGATTTTGGCAATTATTATACATAACTTGATAATTATGTATAAGAAAAAGTTCTAAAAAATGATAGATTTATATGATGGAAAATGTAATAACATTTTATTATTGTATAAAATGAATAAATGATTTGGTTGTACTTCGTATACATTAGTAGAAAAGTTAATTAAAGTAAGGCACTAAGGCGGTTGAATTTCAAAAATCAATATTTTGATTAAAAAAGAACCCAACAAGCATATATGTTTTCTTTAATAGAACAAGCATATATGTTTCTTGAATGGAAACGACTACCCAGAACAAATATTAAGAGGCCGTTTGGTAACACTAAAATTGGTTGAATTGACTAATTGTGCTGAAATTTATGAAGTTCTGGTTGAAGTGACTGTATTGGCTGATTCAGGTGATTCATGAAAAAAATTATATTTAAAATATTTGTTATTAATAAATAACATAAAAAATTATATGAAAAATAGCTAAAATGATCCTCTAGGATAACTTCAGCCAATACAACCAGAAAAATAATTCTAACCTTACTTTTTCTGTTTATTACACAATTCAGTGCGCGAATTCAAAAATTACGTGTTCGATGAAAATGGTGGCTGGTAAGTTAAACGCGCTGGAATTTGAGTTACATGAGCGCAAATGACAAAGGAGTATACCGTATACGAAGTATATGACAAGAGAACAGTGGAAAAATTATTCAATTCAAGAAAACAGACTGTTACCGCCGTCTGTGGGAATCGAACCCACGACCACGTGGTTAAAAGCCACGCGCTCTACCAGCTGAGCTAAGACGGCAATTTGCTTCATTTATCGTCATATTAGTATTAAAATAAAGTTTAAGCGGTAATGGAAAACGGCTGACAAAATTTGCATTGCGGTAATGGAAAACGACTGACAAAATGATTTTCTTTTTTTTTTGAAGAAGAAAACTACTATAGTGCTATTAAAACTAAATGATTTTTTAATAGATTTTAAATGGATCTTCAAAAAAAGGAGTTTAAATGGAAAACATAAAATTATACCCATGTCTGACAAAATTTTGTGATATTTTCTTATTTCGCCACTGAAAAAACATTGTTTTTCCATTAAAATATAGCTCTCTCCACTCTTTTAAGCTTGTCTAATTTTTCTAATTTGGTCACAATCTCACTTACGAAGTGTTTGCAATAGCTTGTGCTTTACAAAAATCACTTTTAAAGTGATTTTGCAAAAAAATGCTTAATACTCCGTTGTAAAAGTTCATAGTGTTTGAGGAAAAAATGTTTTTGAAAAGTAAAAGTTGGTTGAGGAAAAATAAAATGTGCGATTTTTGTGTAAAAGAAAAAGTAAAAACAAATTTTAGCTTTTAACTTTTTAGTGTTTTATTTAAGCAGAAGTTGCCACTTTAAAACACACATTTTAACTTTTATGCCAGAAGTCGAAAAACAATTTTTTTAAATGTTTGCAAACACTCCCTAATAGTCCAAGTGCAAAGTCAAAGATAAAAAATGACTGACAGACCGTTTACCAGCCACTCCTATAGTTGATGCCTTGATGGATTACAATGGTCACTTTCACGATAGTTTGAAAATTAAAAGTAGAAAATTTTATAGAACGAGTTCTAAAAGTGAAAAGGGCTTAAAAGTGAGTATAAATAGAGTTATTAACACACGACTCGTTTTATGTTTTAACTCCCTGAACAATTTTTTATTTGTTTGCCGATGTGATTATTGGTGTTTTGTTTAGTCCTTTTTGGACTCCATAAACTTTCTTTTAAAAAAATCGTACTTGATATTAAGAGCTTCATAATGCTCACACATATTTAAGATTAGAAATCATCCAAGACTAGTGATGGCCCGGTCCCGGTCGGCCCGGCCCGGGAACCGGCTTGACCCGCCACTGTGCGGGCCCGGACCGGACCAGTGAACCGGGACAAGTTCCGGGCCTAGGCCCAGCCCGGGGGGTTGGGCGGGGCGGTTCCGGGCTACCCTATGCTTTGGTACCGGCCGGTCAGGGCCCGGCTCGGGCCTTTTTTTTTTTTTTTTCCCGGGTTGGGCAGGGGGGTTTGCGGGGTGGGGGGGGTCGGGGGTTAACTCGAAAAGCAAAAAAAAAAAAACAAAAAAAAAATTGAACAGGCCCGGGGACCGGCCCTGACCCGGTGGAATCCCAGGCTAGTTCCGGGCCCGTAGCCAAACTCAAAAAGCCCGCCCAGGACCGGCCCGGGACCGGTCCATGCCTATCCGAGACATTTAAGAATTAAGAACTTCAGCTGGGTCATAAATATCAGGACACGTCAGAATACATATTTGTAAGATAAGAATTTGATACTCTAAGTTTTGCAAGTGAAGTAGAGAACAAATTATAGTAATACGTAGTATATAATGATGATCACCAATACGGCGAATGGACCTCATCATTTTTGTACAAAAAGAAGAAATAAATGGATCCCCCATATTATTTACAGGCACACAACCTTTTGCGGACTTGTGTTATGAATTATGATGCCCCCAAATTATTTTTTACTCCGTATTAAAAAAGAAAACCCACCAGATTAAACACAGTAGCGTGGAACAAAAAAAGTGTAGGCAAAGAAAAGAGTAATAATAATAATAAAGGGTTTTAGTAGCGCAGCCAGTATGTTCTGCGTCTAAACCAGTTATAGTCAGGTAAGTAGCCCTGAATCGGTCCCCTCGCTGCTATTGCAATGTCCTGCATATAAATAATAATCACACTAACCACCATTGCTTGCAAAGTAAAAAGAAAAATAATAACATGACTAATGACCATCTATCTATGTACAGAACTGATGCTTGAAACGTGACACGGTTTTTTATTACGAGTATTTTTATTGCTACTGCTATTACTATTCTTCTTCTACTACTCATTTTTAATTCAAAATATACTAAGACATGAGACATGAAAAAGGGGTGTTTTCCAATACTAAAAAATTCTAAAATTTGAATATGTTAGCTAACTGACCCAGTGACTCCTAATAGCTGAAGTGTCTAAAACATCTATCTTAAATAGATTACCTTTGACCACAAACTAGTACTTCAACAAGAATACATGTTTGAAAGATCTTACCCGGTCAAAAATAAAACGGTTGGCAACTCTTTTTATTGTGCTGGCATCCACGGAGTCGATCCTAGCAAATAACTCAGCGTATGGAATTCTTCGGCCATAGGTTATTAACTGCACAAATTTCACTCGGAATGTAAGGGCGTCCCAACTTGGGACATTAGTTATTAACTTCTATTACTGTGCATCATGCATGTAACAATTAAGATTAAACTAGGCGACTAAGATAGGCTCAACTAAAAGTTCCGGGAATGCTTCTAAAATACCCTCACAGCCTCACTCATTCTTTTGAGGGAGATTCCAACACTCACTCAAACCTTTACATGATGGTTGAATGGCATAATGAGATAACATACAAAGAATTAAGATTAATCTAGGTGACCAGGATAGTCTCAATTCTCAAGTAAAGGTTCCGGGAATGCTACAACAAAAAATTAAGATTAATCTAGGCGACTGGGATAGTCTCAATTCTCAAGTAAAGGTTCCGGGAATGCTACACATTTGATGAGAAATACCCTTTTAAGTAAGGGTGTGAGAAATATCCTCACGCTGATAAGAACAGAAAAGTAAAATCAACGGGGTGAACCGTTGCCCAGATAATCAACGATAAATTAATACCGTTGCCCAGAGCCAAAAAGGCTAAACCAAACTTTTATTCCAAGATGATAAGAATGAACCCTGGCGAGGGGTATAAATAGCCTTCTACAAGCAACCCTAATCAAGCCCAAATTAATTAAATCCTAATTAGGCCCATACTACTCTACTAAGTACTCTACTAATAAAAGGCCCAAACCAAAACATAACATTAACTTAAAATAATAATAAATAATTATAAAGACAGCCCGAAACCGGCCCACGGAAGTGGGCCCAAGCCAGGTCCCGCCACAAGCTCTTCCCGCTTCATATCACACGCCCTCACTCATTCTTTTGAGAAAAATTCCAAAGTCCACTCAACCTTTACAACCATCATCTAAAGCTATGCACTTCATCAGTTGTTCACCAGCCAAGAATAACACATTATGTAGTACCTGATGTCCAATGTCTTCAGCAGTGCCACTAGATCCATTAATTTGGAGCATTAAAGAAGACTTGAGCTGCAAAAGAGCAAAGTTATTGCATGGGGGACTAATTTTAGCGACAAAAGAAAGAAACGAGCAGTAGTCAGTGGCAAGAACCTGATTACGAGCACGGATGACATCAGCTTCGGATACACGGTAGCACAAATTGCATAACTCATACATTATCGAGTAAGCTAAGTCATCCAAGCAATCACGCTGGTAAAGCACAGACATGTAAAAAGAAATTCACACTCAATAGTCAATAGTTTTTGTGAGAATCCCTAAGTTCACAACTATTGTGTAAGATTGTGTATGTATGCAAATTTGATCAGCAGAGAACGATGTACAAAAAGCTGAGTGTTCAGAGCCACATCAAAATACAGAAGGAAAACAAATGTTTTATTGGAAGCAATACAATGAACCCCAAGAACGCGTTCATGACAATAAGGCCATATAGGTCTTTTCCTTTGTTTTCCCGAATGTATCTATGAGATCTCATCACCAAGAAGTACTAAAATGATACTCGATGTCTTGATGAGTCCTAACGTATAGTCTTACAAATGAAAAACATGATCTAGATAAACAGAGATTGCAAATGGTGCACTAAGAAAACAGCCACAAAACGATTTGAAGATGGAATGAACAACTATATTTCATAATAGTATGACTTACTACATATTAGTTTTAATTGTTTAAAGAGTACCATTATTTCTATGAGTTTCTAACATACAACCTTTTACTGAACATTGCACTCACCTCAGCA